AAGGAAAATAAGTGCTTAGAAAAATGTACAGGTCACTCACTTACTAGCAAAAGTTGGGGCTGAGGTTAATGCTAACTTAGGAGCTAAATGCTTGATTAGGAATGATCTCAGAATCTTTTTGAATTTCCAATATCCTCATATTATTGAAACTGTCATAATATATGTGTCCTGAAATTCAGAAGATGGTAGTCATTTTTCCCATATGTATGGGCTGTTAAGGCAAGGGATATCTTAAACATCATATTACTTTATTTAGATTTCTTCTATTCCAATTATTAATGTTATGTAATTCTCATTGTTTTACTTCTTCATGATATTGTGAAGACTATATAGACGATTCAGCCAAGCCTGCAAATCTCCCTTATCTGGAATTCCACTGGACCCAATCTGTTTTCCATTGCCAGTGCCATGCTACTAAAGCCATACAGTATCAAGCACCCTCCGTCTAGGTCCAGGGACTATCACAGGAGAGGTGGGCATTTAAGATTGTAAGGGCTGGTTTCAAGGGGTGCAGTCCAGGAAAACAGCCTGTTGCATTGCAAGGGTGATGTCATCTTGAAGTGCAGCTGCCATGGTGACTGCTGTTTGACTCCTGCATACCAAGATATTCTGCAACAATGTCTTTAAACAATGCTGGTAATGCTTAGCTAACCTCCCCAGTGTTCAGGTGTTTCACAAGAAAGTCTGAGATGCGACCAGAGCTACACGTTTTGCCAAAAAGGCTTGCTATGCAAAGGGTATTTTCAGGAGGGTAAGTGCTGCCATTTAGTGGCTGCTGGAAACATTGCTTCTGTTTGTAAGTTCCTATTAAATGTTTCTTTCTGAGAAACTGTATTTGTCAGCCTCTTTCTTTGGCCTCTTGGCTTCTTTGGCCTTTGGGGGTAGGTTTGCACAGACTTGCTCATCATGGAACACCTGGAGACTTTTATTGAAGAATGCTATTAGAAACCAATATCTAAGTACTAGGTATGCTCATTGCTACTGGGGTGTTCTTTTTTTAGCCCCCTCAGCTGACAGGGCAAAGAAATATATGTGTGTATATTTACTCATATATGTATATGTACACATATGTGTAAATGTCTCTCTTATCTGTAAATCCCAACTCCAAACACTGAGAAGCATGATGCCTGCCATTTCTCACACATTCACTTAATTGCTTAATCCACATATACATATATAGCAGTGTCAGAATTGTTAACTTCTACCTCAATGGGAAATAACTTTATCAACTAAAATGCAGTGCCATGTGCAATTTCTGTGCTTGTAGTCTTACATACTCCATTCATTCCCAAAGTTATTTCAGTCACCATCTTGTTTCTCACCTCCTTCAGTGAGGTCATTTTACATGCTTATAATACAGTTATATATACATATAATAGTTAGATTCCCTTGTCACAGGGTGAATTCTTTCCTTTGACCCTTTGACCTCCTAAATGATACTTTAATGTGTATACGTTGATTCACTCTGTGCTGTAAAGTTCTGAGTTTTATCATACAGAATAATTACATCACCTTAGAAATCTGTGCTTTACCTATGTAACCTTCCCCTCTCCCCTGAACTCCAGTAAAAAAAGAAATCACTGATCTTTTTACTGTCTTAATATTGCTTTTGCATCTTCTAGAATGCTATATAATCAAATTCTGTTTATATATTCAGTACACTTTCCACATTTTTTTGTTGATGGTGGTGATTTTTCTGCTTAAATGGCCCCCATGCATAAAACTTAAGTTCGGTCCAGTGTTGCCAAGAAAAAGGTGGCTGTGGTATGCCTTACAAAGGAAATGTTTGTATTAGATAAGCTAGCTAAGCTTTTGAGACGTGAGTTATAGCATATTTGACTGTGAGTTTAATATTATGGAATCAACAATACATATTAATAAGATGTCTTTTCAACAGAAACACACATAAAGCAAGTTTATTTACTAACTTTGATGAAAATGTTGTGACCAGAAGATAATAGGAATTCAACACTGTGTTACTCCTACAGGCAATGCTTCAGTATTTGTAGATCTGTATAGACCTCAACTACCACAAGTAATGAGATTTGACTGTATCATTTCAAATATGGCTTCAAGTCTAATGCCTGTCTAATCATCACAGAGACTTAAACTTTTGTGGCTTTACTGTTTATTAAACAATTTATGACATTTTATCTTAATACATATTATATACAGCAGATATTATTATACCTGTTTCCTGTGTGAGAAGGAAGTATCGCTGAATTTTTGCCAAAATTGCTGATACCTTGGAAAGACTGGGACTTATGTCTTGAAATATAGCTGATTGTTCTTTCTCCTAAATGAGCTGGTTCATCGGAACCAGACACCACTATGGCCATTCCTGCATCTAAAGCACACCCATCTTTGACCACTTAAGAAATATTATAAGCATTTCAGAATGTAGCAAATACCTTTTTCTGATTTTCTCTTGTCCTAGCTCTAAAGACTTTTAAAGCTTCTAGCTAGAAAATTCAACTTAGGCCTAGATTTATTACCACTCACTCCTCCAATTCCCGGTTGTAGAGCGAATCCAATATCCCATTCTAGTCCAGATCTCTCTCTGAAATGGGATAATGGTCTGAACAAGGTTGTAATGGGTTTAACTGTGCCTGACCCTAAGTGCAAGCACATCCTCAGCCTGTATACCTGTAAATGTGACTATATTTGGACAAAGATGCTCTGCAGGTGTAATTAAATTAAGATTCAGGAGACAAGATCATCCTGCACTAACTGGGTGAGCTCTAAATCCAGTAATGAGTGTCTTTATAAGTAAAGAAGAAACACAGAAGAGAGACCCAGAAAGAAAGACTGTGTGAAGGTGGAGGCAGAGATTTGAGAGATACATCTACAACCAGGGGTTGCCAGGGATTGCCGGAGGCCACCAGAAGCTAGGAGAGCAGCGTGGAATAGGTTCTCCTCAAAACCTCCACAAGGAACCAGCCCCGGTAACATCTTGATTTCAGACTCTGGTCTCCAGAACTGTGCTGTAAAAGTAGATTTCTGTAGTTTTAAGCCACCAAGTTAGTGGTAATTTGTTATGAGCTTGATGGGTTAAAATAATTTATTCTCTCACAATTATGAGACGACAGATTTCTACAACCTGAAGTCAAGTTGTTTTCAGGGCTGTGCTTTCTCCAGAAGGTGCAGTGGGGGTGAGAGTGAGGGAATTAAGGGCCCCCCACTGACCTGCCTGTTAATGAGTCTCAGTGGCCAAAGGTATGATTGAAATAAGCTACCCAAATGATTCTGTGGTTGTTACTCATGTGACTCAGTCTCCTCTGGGCAGGAACAGGAAGGGATTTTCTCATGGCAATGTAGCGGCAAGCCCCACCGCCCAACAGAAAAGCAATGCTGTTGTGGTCACTGAGTAAGGAATCCCTGAAATTAAAATACATGGTGTCAGCAATAAGAACCTTGATATCTGATAGACAGCTTCAGGTGAACAAAAACATTTGAAATGTATTGGTTGAATCCAAACAAGCCATTCAAAACTAAAAATGGATTTAGCCAATTTCTTTTCCTTTTGCCCCCTTTTAGCCCATCCCTTCCCTTTTGCCTCAACCTCAGCTGCTTTTGGAGAAAGATAATTAGAGATGCAACTGAGATCTCTCTGTCCTTAAATGGGACGAGGGCTATGCACACCTGTGTGCATATGCCAGGGAACTTCGGGGAGTGAAGGGCTCAAGCTTATGGCTGTGTTGGCTTCAGGTGCCCAAGTCACCATTCTACCCTGTCCTGTTAAAGAACAAGATGTTGGGCACAGGAATGGCCAAAGGCACCAAAAACTAAAGGATGGAGTTGAGGCAGTTGTGGGTAGGGGTAGAAAGGGATCTCTGGCCAAATCTCATCTTGAACTTTAGCTCCTATAATCCCCACATGTCCAGGGAGGGAACGAGCGGGAGGTAACTGAATAATGGAGGCAGGTTTTCCCCATGTGGTTTTTGTGACAGTGAATAAGTCTTACAATATATGACAGTTTCATAAAGGAAAGTTCCCCTGCACATGCTCCCTCTTGCCTGCTGCCATGTAAGAGATGCCTTTGTACCTCCTTCACCTTCTGCCATGATTATGAGGCCACCTTATCAATGTAGAAGTGTGAGTCCATTAAACACCTTTTTCTTTATAAATTACCCATTCTTGGGTATTTCTTCATAGCAGTATGAAAATTGACTAATACAGTGAATTGGCATCACAGAGTGGGGTGCTTCTTTAAACGTACCTGAAAATGTGGAAGCAACTTTGGAACTGGGTAACAGGCAAAGGTTGAAAAAAGAGGGCTCAGAAGAAGACAGGAAACTGTGGGAAAGTTTGGAACTTCACAGAGACTTGTTGAATGGCTTTGCCCAAAATGCCGATAGTGATATGGCAGTGAATTCTAGGCTAAGGTGGTCTCAGATGGAGATGAAGAACTTATTGGACACTGAAGCAAATGTCACTTTTGCTACACTTTAGCAGAGACTGGTGGCATTATGACCCCGGCCTTAAAGATCTGTGGAAATTTGAACTTGAGAAAGATGATTTAGGGTATCTGGTAGAAGAAATTTCTTAGCAGCAAAGCATTCAAGATGTGGCTTGGGTACTCTGAAAACCATTCAGTTTTAGTCATTCACAGAGATATGGTTTGGGATTGGAACTTAGGTTTAAAAGGGAAGCAGAGCATAAAAGTTCAGAAAATTTGCAATCTGGTGATGTGATAGAAAATAAAACCTCATTTTCTGAAGATAAATTCAAGCCAGCCACAGGAATTCACATAAATAATAAGGA